TACAATATATTGTATCAATATTTGATTCTTTTCCCTGAACTACATAATTCACATTGTCTTACATTTTTCCCTAGCATCCAAAATAAATCACTGATACTGTATGTGCTACTTTAACCCCATTCGAGACCCTGATGCTATTTACACACACACACACACACACACACACACACACAGAGGCATAGCCCTCAACGTAGTATATAAGAAATAACAAGCATACATATCTATGAACTTAATTGATAGAACAGAGTAACAAACTCACTTCTGCTGATATTCTTTGAGTAATTTCTTGGCTTTGTTGTACTTCTTTTCCAACACATCATATTGCTCTTGAGTTTCTTTAAGATGTTCATTTACTGTTTTGCATAAACTCTGGGCTTCTAACCAATAGGTTTCTAACTTCTTTATTTTTTCTTTGTTCTCATCTATAGTTTCCTGGAGCTGGGATTTTCTTAACTCCCATTCAATCTTTTCAGCCTCTGTCGCTTTTAACTTATGAAAAAAAAAATCAAATTATTAGTTAGACTTCAGTAATTACTCAATCGTGTGTAGATTAATTGATTTGATTTTAAGCCAAACAAGTTTCTGTTCTGGATGCAACAAGGAACAATAATTTTGCCTTAGTTTTAGCTATCTGTAGCTGTCCTTTTGCACAAAATTTATTCAGATTAATTCATTTTATGAGAATTCATGCTTTAGTTTTTATCTTTGGCCATCTAAAAAAAAATTGCCATTAATTTCTAATATTCAAACTGTTCTAACTGGTATAAAAGATCAACTATAACAAACAACCTGAAAGCAAAGTTAGGAAAATATTTATCTTATTTTTCAAAAGACTATTTGTAAGCTAAATTTTATGGACAAGTAGGTATGTTTATTTTTTTGCTGCCATTAATGTACCATGCTATCTTTGAAAAGAATGTTCTCCCTCCTACAATACTGACTAGTTTCTTGATGGCAATTTCTTATAGGTTACAAGCAAGTCATGGAAACTACATGAAGGATGTATACATATTTGCATATAAATAAGGAAAATGATCCTACATAATATTGTCAGATCCAAAACTTTAAGGAACATGGTCAGCAAATTTTTAGTTTCATTACCAGAAAAAAACTGGATCAGCTGTCACTTTTTCTATCATTGCAGCTGTTAGAAATTTTCACCAAAACAATTCATATTGCAAAAGTTTAAAGTTGTGATAGTCCATCTGTGATTTAGATCCAGTAATTCTAGTCATATATTAAAATGTAACATAAGTACAAGAAAGCTAACGACCTAGATTTCTTATTTATTCTATAGAAAATTCATACACTATGAAATATGATGACTGCCTTCTCTTCTATCAAAAATGCAGTACAAGTAGTACATCTCATGTTGCACTGGAACATCTGTTTAATTGGTAGGGGGGAACAGGACTTCTGTAAAAAGGTATTCTGTACCAGAAGATAAGAAATCCCCAAATATCAAACAATTCTAACTTATGTACCCTGGGTAAGAATAGGGCACTGCTCTTACTTACAAATGGTGCATTGTTATCCTTACAAAACAAATTATTCCTCCAATCTATTTATGCTTTTCATTTGCATGTAACTAACTATGCTTATTTTTATTTCAACAAGTACATCACACATGTAATGAACTTCCAGAGAAGATATTCCTCAGAGATTAGCACAAATTGCATAAATAACAAGGTTTCTTGTTTTTAGTTGAAATTAAGCATTTGGTTTTACCTTGTTTGTCTTTAATATACTCAGTTTGAGTTTACAAATAACTGAATTTAAATATTTTTTTAAAAAAGTACATATTGAAGATTTACCTTTTCCTTAAGTTGATTAACTTCAGCTATTGTAACTGCATGTTTTAATTGTAGCTAGAAAAAATACAAGAAAGTTTTATTGAAGAAAGAAAAAAAGCTGCAACTGACATTTGAAAATTAATTTTACGTATCTATTACTGTTCACATTTTTTTTTCATGGCATTGGAAGCAATAAGTTTCATTAGCTGAAAGTGCCCACTTGCTCTTCTCCTCAAGCAACAGAACAAAGCCACTCAGGTATTGCTTGCTTACACCAGAGCAACTGCTCTCAAGATACTTGTAGGTTACAGTTCTTAAAATGCCTCACTACTGGCTTTAGTCTGCTGGGTGATAGAGTTCAGCAATATCTGAAGGGGCACAGATTCCCATTCTGTGGTTTACAGTCAAGAGTGTTGTCCAAACATAAGAGGCACGTTACTAGAACTAACCAGAGGAAGTAGTTATAACTTGCATTTTCCACAATTCTGCTGAAACCCAAATTTCAATGAGCTCTTCCTCTCTCTGAATTGTTTCCAGCTGATAATTATATCACCCACTTACATAAGATAAATATGAACAGACTGATTCATTCATGTTAAAGAATCATGACATACTGCTAGATAAAAATGGTTCCAACTGACATATTAATATACATTCCCATATACACTGCCTGAAAATATTTCTTTACATAATCAACATTATTATTGTTGGTAAGAAGTATTCATGAGAAGATAAGGATTAATTCTCTCAAGGCTACTACGCAATGAAATCAAATCAAGGTATAAAGATACGCTTTGTACAAAAAGGATATGCCTTTTCCTTCTCTCATTTGACTTACAAGAGCCTCTAGTTTTTA